ACATAGTAATTCAAAATGGCACAACGTCTTACTTACAGACGGCGTTTAAGTTATAATACCAAATCTAATAGAGTGAAAGTAATCAAGACACCAGGCAAGTTTTGATGATTATAAACTTGTAAAAAATTTAATCAAATTATTAATTAATTTTTTATTAATATGATTGCAGGTGGTAAACTTACATGGCTTTATGAAAAGAAACCTGCCAAAGGTCCTCATTGTGGTGACTGTGGGATTAGAATTCCTGGTGTAATATATATATATAAATTTTTTTTGATTACAAGACTTTTCAATTACAAACTTTATTTATTCCTAATTTTATTTTTGATGTAAAAATCATCACAGATCCCTGCCCTTCGGCCACGTGAATATGCAAGAATTTCTAAACGTCAAAAGAAAGTACAACGTGCTTATGGAGGTAGTCGCTGTGCTAAATGTGTTAGAAATCGGTATGTGTAAATCAATGTATATAAATCATCAAAAAATTAAAAACTAATTAAGTTTAATAATATATCTATTTGTATTTGAATAGCATTGTCCGAGCATTTTTAATTGAGGAACAGAAGATTGTCAAAAAAGTTCTTAAGGGTCAAGCTAAACCATCCAAGAAGAAGAAGTAATAATATTATCACCATTAATTATTAGCATTAATTTTATTATTAATAAAAAAAATTTTTTCAACTTAATTATAATTGTATGATATTAATTAATTAATTAATTAATTACTGTTATATATATATAATCTTTATCACCAACATAAAACAAATAATCATTCCAAAAAAAAATCAATCTTTTTTTTTTCATGAATTAAATAAAGCTCATCAGATCCAGAAAAAGACATGGGAAAAAACGTAACCCTCATATCTTGTGTGTTCCTATTTATTATGAAAAGCATTAATTTTATTATTAATAAAAAAAATTTTTTCAACTTAATTATAATTGTATGATATTAATTAATTAATTAATTAATTACTGTTATATATATATAATCTTTATCACCAACATAAAACAAATAATCATTCCAAAAAAAAATCAATCTTTTTTTTTTCATGAATTAAATAAAGCTCATCAGATCCAGAAAAAGACATGGGAAAAAACGTAACCCTCATATCTTGTGTGTTCCTATTTATTATGATTATATGATGATAGGCTTATATTTGGTATTGTAAATATTGCTTTATAATGAATCTGCCTTGAGATTATTCTTGGATTTCCTTTTGTGAGACAGTATTTTGTATATTGATGTATATTATTATCAAAGGATATTAACAGAAAATCCAGCCACGGTATATGGCGGGACTGCTTTTTCATATTTATATATATTTATTACTTTCTCGATTCGCTTCAAATATACTTGAAAGTAATCAAGAACCTGAATTTGCAGAAGATGAAAATATATACGAAGATTTAAATCTCGAAGAAGAAGAAGAA